AATGTGTTGATTGTCATCATTTTGTACCCATGTATCAGTTTGACACCAAAACGCAGTATTTAAATTTCTATTCATTTCACACTCAGTCATGAGTCACTTCCACCCATTTCACACCAAAACTGTGACTTATTTACTTTCACACACAACAACCTGACAGCCGTTTAAAAGACACAGAATTAAAATGTAAGTAATCATGTAACACTCATGTAATCTGATAAACATTAAGAAATAGTTTGACATTTTGGGATATAAACTTGTTCAGCTGACCGCTAGATTAAAAGATTATATATGTTAAATATACAGCTACAGCAGATTGTGTCAAGGGCGGTGGTTTGCATATGAAGAGGACATGTCCCTACCAATATTTTGGGAGGACAGAATTGCCCCGACCAATATTTGAGTGAAATCATTTGCACTACGTTTGAAGTGAAGTCACATTAGATCATTCCAGTGTCCCTCCAAGAGTCAATGCCTCCAATACAACAGATTTAGGCACGCTAGCATTTGATTGGTTGAAAGGGCGGGGGCTATCTGAAGTCTCACGTCATGTGAGAATATCACATGACGTGAGACATGAATGTCAACTGATGTTGATTGACCATGTTAGCTAGTGTTAACTAGCAAGTTAACCCTGGCTTCTGTCTTCTGTGGGCTAGTAGTCAAGTTGCTAGCAGGAGTAAACATAAAATGGTCAAAATATGAGTTTAATTTCTGTGGATAAAAAAACCCTTAGAAAATCTCACAATGAATATTATGACATTTTTACGCCTTACTGTACTATGATGTTTTTTTGTCATTTTTATACTATAACGTTTTTAGACGTTTTTAAGCCTTACTTTACTATTACGTTTTTTTGTCTTACTATATTATGGCCTTTTTTAATACCTCACTATACTGTGACTTTTCTATGCCTTAGTGTACAGTGACTTCTTTTTTTTGCCCTATTATACTAAGACTTTTTATGCTTTACTGCACTGTACTATGGCAGTTTTATGCTTGACTATAATATGACTTTTGTGTGCCTTACAATGCGATGTTTGTCTCCCCTCTCCTCTTTATGTGTGTGTATCTATGTGCTGCAGGTGACTCAGTGGAGGCGTGGTCTGGACAGCAGCTCACCACCACAACTGCAATCTATCACTCATCATCATCTGCAGTATATATACCCTGATCATCCATCCATTCGTTGCCACATTGTCTAGCTCTTCAGAATGGTAGTCGCTGTCTCGGCCGCTCTGATTAGTTTATGTTACCACAGAGTTATCTAGAGTTTCACTAATCTCCCTGGTGTTTTCACCTGTATTAACTCTTTGCTCTCCTGTGCTCCAGAAGACATCCTGATTTGTGTGCTGCTGATCCTGCCACAGTTCGCTGTCGCCACACCACGCCACACCACCCACCAAGCCTTTGGTCTCCAGTGTCCTCCGTTCGTCTGCCTTGTGTACTCCCCAGACACCTGGATTCAACTGTAATTACTGGTGTGTTTGTTCTGTCTCTGATCTGGGGTCAAACATCAGTCCTGAAAAACACGTAACACCAACTATACTATGACGTTTTCAAGCCATACTATACTATGGTGTTTTATGGCATTTGTATGCCGCCTTATATTATGACGAGGATATATTATTATGACATATATACTTCCTATTGATATATGAAGATATAAGTTTTTAACACATGAATTACTCATGGTAAAATGCAACTTCATTAAAACATGTATGTCAATATTTGTATATGTTTGTATATGATTTTCTTAACAATTTCTTATTAAATTTAAACATACATGTCTATCTTTTATATTTACATATAGACCTATATTATGAACCTTTACCAACAGGCTTTGGGATGGATATCCTGTATATTCATTTAACTATGTCTATCATACAAACAGCCATACTAATAGCCATACTATTGTGTAGATAGCTTAGCTTAGCACAAAGACTGAATCACTAATGAATCAAACAAGTGAAATATTAGCTTACAGGTGTTGGTAGGTGTGTTTTGTTATCTTTGGACAGAGCTAGCCTAGCTTTCTGTCCCTGTTTCTGGACAGTGTGTTAAGGTAAGCTAATCACCCACTGGGTCCTAACATGTCAAACTACTCCACTGACATTTGGACTTTACAGGAGTTATATTTAAGTTTTTGCTATTTCTACAAAGCCAACGTTAGCAGCAACATTCAGCATCAAACGTTTATACCTTTACTTGCCAAGAGCTGTCTCCAGCTGTGGAAAGCAACACCAATGTTAACTGTTGTTTTTATCACTTCTTTTCCTCTGCTGAAGTTAGCACGCTAACCAGCTAGCCCTGGCCTGTTCCAGCCTGTCTCCTAACTTTCCCATAACAATCCACTGTTCCAATCTGCCCTGAAGAGGGCGTATTATAACCTGTTGTATTATAAAGATAATGATCGCTGAAGCTCTTTCAAGTGTCAATCACCACCACCCACTCCCGGCGAGAAACCATGTTCAGCAGCAGAAAAAACTTAAATAGCCTTTTTTAAAGGGTCAGTTCACCCTAATTACACATAATATATTTTTCATTTAAATTACAGAACAACATCCAGACACTTTACAACCTACTGCACCAGAGAAACTAAGCGACAGCACGTCAACCGCTGCTTACCTGCTGGCTCCTGACATGTTATCTGATATCATTTGAATGCATCATTTTCACTACACCTCTTTATTTCACTGTTCCACTCCTATTATTGGCATCTGATCTGCTTTAATTAGAAGCCGATGTTTAGTAAATCTGTGAGGCTCTTCGTTGTTAGAGAAGGGATTAGATTCATCCTGTCTCGACACACTCTTTCAGTTGACACAAATATCATTTATCCATCTCTGTGTGCTTTCTCACTCACTCACTCACTCAGTCGCTCTTCCCTTTATTTCCTCTCTGCTAGACCGGGAAGGAAATACTGAACAAATTTGAATTTTCACAGTAAAATCTAATTCTCTTTAAATTTGTATTAGATTGTAGCTACAATCTAATTTAATTGTGCTCTCTGGTTGTAACCGAACCATAATGCCTTAGATGTCTCCTACAGTATGTTCCTTTCTTCGGTTCCATGAGATTGTACGTTGAGTGAGTATTACTACCTCCATATATCTGTCCCTAATACTCTGCTGGGCAATGTGCAATCCATCTTTCAAAATGTCTCTGACTCCATGCTTGTTTCTGACTCACTCACTTCTTTAATAGAGGGTACGATCCACTCAAATGAACTCATTAACCCAAACAGAATTATTAATTTTCAAAGCAATTCAATGAAACATATACCTTTGTAACTATATGTTACCGTATGTAGGCCTAGTTTGATTTTGCCCACAGAGCTTTTATTGCCACACAATGTAAGCCCAAGGCTACAAGCCAGTATGTGAGTATATGAGAAGAACATTTCTCTGTGTGTGTGTGTGTGTGTGTGTGTGTGTGTGTGTGTGTGTGAGTGTGTGGTGGAACCAGATAGACAACCTTGACTCAACGTGTCACTCTGGAAAATGACAGACAAAGAAGTCAGACAGTTGCCATGACAAACGACAACCCACTCCGAAATAAAAAATAAAAACTCATTAGCAGGCTGAAATGACCCCATGTCAACTTTGTCAGAACTGACAATGTAGCATAGACAATCAGGATCTACAGTTGATTCATTTGCTCTAATGGTGTGAAGGTTACTCATTCCACATGAATTCATGTTTTTCCCCCAAGGTGTGTCCATTTCCTCTCACATTCCACAGTCTATTGGTGGCTAAAGGTGTTTCCTTGTCACCTGTGCAGCATGCTGGTATAAACTAGATTGAGTCATATCTCTCATATCTCTTCAAGCCAAGAAAAAAGATAATGCCTTCCTTATCATACTATAATTCTCTTGCCTAATTCTCACGTTTCAAATTCAAATTCAAATCCACAAGTACTTTATTGGCATGAAAGATCGATGTACATGTATATATTAATTATATATTACAGTATATTATTTGCATGCATGTGTGTGTGTGTCTAGGTCATTCACTGGCCCTCAGGTTATGGCATGTTGATGTATCTTAGGCAGCGAGATATGCCCTGTCTCCTCCTCCTATGAGTATTTTTTTAATTTTGAGATGTCGTTTAGGAATTACAGACCTGAACTGGTTAAAGTAAATGTTCCATATTTCATTTAATGATTTACACTTTCGGAGGAAGTGCATCTCTGTCTCACCTGTCAAACAGTGACTACATTTCACTTTTTATTTAAAGGACCACACCAGTGTATTTGTAAGAGCCCCACTTGACATCTTGAGATCTCTTGTTTTATCTATTCGATGCTCCAAACCTTGGAAATACTCAGTTCACAGTGATATAAAACAGAGAATAGCACCAAATCCTCTCGTAAGAGAAGATGATAGGAGAGAATGTTTGACATTTGTGCTTGGAGAATGACTCATCATCAAAATAGTAAAATAGTAAATAGTAATAATTTTCTGCCAATTGACTTATTGATTAATTGACTAATCTTTCAGCTCTACTTTTTCAAAATAGTTTTGAAGGTGTTTGGTACAGTTTCAGAATTCGTATTTATCAACCTTCACCAGGCAGCCAATGGTTACCAGCCAATGCGTTAGACTTAGGAAACAGACCAAACACTTGCTTACAGTAGTAAGGCTGGCTTATAGTGGTAATAGATTTTGATATTGTTTGGAAATGAATGGAAACCCGGGATGCTGGAACATTAAATTCAGAATTGTAAAACCTAAAGCAAAACGATTAGTTATAACGTTAAGTAGTGATTTGTAACATGCAAAGACATTAATACAGTCCCTTAAGTCTCCACTATCTATCTTGGTGCATGTTATCATCAATTATACAGCACTGTGGCCTTTGTTCCTCGTGGGTGTAGCCTGTGCCGTGGGGGCGTGTGCACGAGGAGGTGGGTGCGTGTCGACGTCACCACTCGGGTCCTTACTGTCAACGCTAAAATAAAACGGGGGGAAAAAACTTTTCAATCGGGCTGTTAAGTAAAAACACATGGTATCGAGGAAACAAGCCCGTAAAGAAGAGCCATCTTCCTCCGGGCTGTAATGGTTGTTCGGACACGGCTTTGTTCGCGTAGCAGAGGCGGCTTTTCCTTCTCTCTTTCCCGGGGTCGCACAGGGAGAGCCAGCGGGCTGTATCAGTGTAGCCGACTTGCTAGCTAACGTCAAGTTGTAAGAAAGTGGAGAAGACGGTGGCTAAACGGAGGTTTATCCGCCTACACAGACCTATGCGACGGATAGCAGGTAACAGAGCGCTCCCTAATCCTTCCACCACATCAACCATAATGCGTATGGTGTATTTTTATTTTTATCTTTAACACAATTGAGATGTTTTTTTTTTGTTTTTTGTTTTTTTTACCGTACAAATCTCCTGACTGCAACAGCTCTGTGGCTCTCTCCTGCTGTCTCCCTGTGGCTGCAGCACTAACAGCATACGTAGCACTCCTCAACTGTTTTAGTCAACAACTTTGCTCCAGGAAAATTCATAGGGCTGAGACTCGGCCGCCGGCTCGGCTCCTTGTTACAACTCGTTCAACACCTGCTTGTCTTGTGTGGTAAAACTGCATTGTATTGTGATAATGTGGCCCGATAATAATGGCATCTGAGACGTTGCTCTCCAGTAGTCACCAGTAACTGTCTGCAACGGTTTTGTTATGCATTTGTACCTACTGCAAAGCTCGTTGGACTTATCAAGTAAAGGTATTCAGTTGCTGTTAGTTGCATACACCCTTTACTTTGAATTTGCACAGGCCGGTCGCTGTGTGCTGTGTGCACAATGCTCTGAATCACAGAGGAGAGAGTTTATTGTTGTTTATTGCTAGAGTCTGTAGGCCAATCGGGAAGATTTCTGTCAGCTTTAAAATGGCAATATGCTTCAGTTATTTATCAGTATTCATGCCGCGATCGAACCTGCCTGCAGAGATTTGTAAAGATCAGGCTGGCCAAGGATTGTGTCTTCAGGGCTGCCACAGAGCGAGTCAGACCCATTGGTCTGGTGTAGCAATGCGGTAGACAGGGGCCGGTTTAGATTTCCAGAGGAACAGGGGAAATTGAACCGCTATTATTTATGTTTGGTCGATATGTCACGGGGTCATGGTTTGCTGACAGCAGCAGGATAGTGCAGCGGAACAAGGTCAAACGTGGACGGCAGAGCACCTCTCCTGTCCGGGCTGTCAACCGCAGTGAAGGAGCCTCTGTGTGCTGCTTCTTCCCATGGGGCAGTGTGAACCAGCCTGCCAGGTGAAGAACGCCAATGAATTATTCAGGCACATGCTGCATATGATCAACGTGACCCAGGAATGTGCATAGCTGCTGCTGCTGCTGCTGCTGCTGCTGGGGACAATAAGAGGCTCTCAGGGCGGTGTGGCTCCTCCAAGAACAAAATGCCGCCTCAGCTCCCCTGTTGAACTTGCCAGTTTCTAGAGAATAGGGGCATTGGGAAGCTCAGTGGAGTAGGAGTTGCACTTCTTAACGTCTATTTCCAGACTGCCAGGGATCCTATCTATTTTGATCCATTTTGCAGTGCTTGAAGATTGCCTCTGGTGGCTCTGAGCAAAGATTGATGGGTTTTGCTTTTGGTACTTTGTCTTGAGGTGCTTTGTTTTCTTCAACAGCTTGTTCTTGTGCTTCGTTTCCTTGTGTTTTATGGTACAGTTTGCATGCATAACAGTGGACATTTTTAGAGTAAAAATAGAACTTAACGTGGGCTACGTGCCTTCAGTGTCATGTGATGTCCAGCGGCTCAACTATATAGGTTGCTTCGCAATCACAATGCCTTCAGAAAATATGATTATTAGTATAAAGCATTATATTAGGTTCTTACCTTTGTCTCTGCCAGTCAGAAGTAATCTTTACCTTGCACAATCCTAATCATTAGCTCTCCTGGAATAAGTGGTTTTAGATAGCTTGCATAATTTCTATGGTTTAATCAGAATTAGAGTGCATTTTTCAGGCCAGAGTCCAGACCAGCAGAGATACAGTGTGTGGCAATAGCTGATGTTGCTCAAGAACAGATGAGAGGTCATGATGAGGATGCACTTTAGTGACCTTTTGTGTTCTCAGGTTCTTGCGGATTAATAAGGGCTCTTATTTGGATATTGATATGAGGACAATTTTTGCTGCAATTGCAGTTGTACCAGCTTTTGTGATTTGAGAAGGTGAAAGCTGACAAACAAAGCCAGATGATAATTTTCGTGGAACACTAGCAAGCTGCTAACCATGTCATGAACTCTACTCCTCATTCAAGTTTAGGACTATGAATTACGCGGACTACAGTACTTGCCATTTATTTTGTCTGTCTAGAGATCGAGGCCAGGCAAGAGTCAGCGAGTTGTTGATGATTTGACCCGACCCTGAGACATCCGGTGGCTCAAAACAGAGTCTGAATTTTTTGTTCCTGAATGTAAGCAATTCTGGAAAGCCAAAAAGATTACAGTTCGAGCTGTAACGTAAATCTAAAGTGAATGGGGGGGGGAAACAACTTAATTGACTCAAAGATTACATTTCTCCACTTTCCTCATTTAACCGTGCCTGGAAAAAGACAAATTGAACAAACTGATTTTCCTGCTTTTGCAAACTTGATGCCGTTTAAGGTGATCTCTACTGATTGCCTGTGATGTGAAGACACAAGGCTTCTAGTTTGTTGACCCGCATGAGTGTAAACACATCTCTTCAGTTAGTTTTTACACTGTGTATTTGCATGTGTTTACAGCCAGTAGCTTGCCCATCTACATCCTCCGTCTGTGTTTTCTTACATAAGTTTAAGTTGGTGTTGGTCCAACACTTAAACTCTTTTTTGCTAATGCTACTAATACAACACTTAAATCTGTTCGATAAATCAAAGTGTGAGCAATAAGGAAACAAAAAGTTCTAGTACACCGACGATTTAAACATAAATTATGAAATAATAAAGTGCATTTATGAAGTAAAATACAAGCTAAAAACTTGTAACACAGTCTTCCACAGCCTCTGTCTCATGAGCTGAGCCAGTTGCTTCATCTTGACAATCCTCTTTTCTTCCCTCGTTCAGCCTTTGTTTTCTTCTCAGGGATTTTTGGTGTGTCCTAAACAACTCACTGTAATCCCCCTTGCAAAATATGCATAATAATAGAGACCTTTTATTCCAAATCTAAACGCTGTGTTACGTACTGTATTCACAGAACCCACTAACTTTTTTTTTTCTGTCTTTGCCACTCTGTGTTTTTCCCTCTGTTGCCTTTAACTCTAGTGCCTCTTCTGTGCTTTTCATCCTCTCTTCCCCCTCTGTGGACTGCCCTGCCTGTCTAAAGCTCTCATGTTACTTGCATCAGACAGCCCATGTCTTCAGCTTATTTTTTTTTTTCCCTTCTGTCTCTTTTCCTTTCTTTGTGGACTGGATGAACCACACAGGGTGCTGCTTCACCCTCTCACCACCACCGCCACCTCAGTTTCTCTTCTGGCGCTGCCCAGGATGACTGACAGTCATCCACTGAACCTGTCCATGTGTATCACCCTCTCTGTATCTCTCTGCCCACACCCCTCCCTTCCCGTCTCCCTCCCTGCTGTGTTTAGGTGAGTGATGGAGACGAGAGAGTTGACCGTGGTAGCTGGCAGCTTCGTGGGTTTCCAGCTACTCTTCTCAGTGGCCAGCCCGCGGCTCTCCTACGCCCTCACACCAGGTTATGGACGGCTGCCTCCCACCAAACTGACCGAGTGGAACTCCAGGTGTGTCACAGGAAGTCGCCACTCCCTCTCTATAAGCAGGCCTTTTTTTTTTTTAAATAGACCAGCACTGTGGCAGTTTGATCTTGGTACCATGTGAAAGGTTATCATGTTTTTATTTGAGGGGTGTATCACACTAAAGATAGGGTCCCTCGTTATCAAATGAACCTTAGCCTGAAAAATCGAATACGTACACTTGCTTTTTTGCCGTGAGAACTGCTAGTCCGCCGCTGTCTCAAGATAACAAAATTCAGCAATCAGCTCTTCTAAATCTCACTAATTAACACCTTTTTTTACCTCATTTTCTCCAGCTTTATTTTTACTGTATAGACATAAGGAGTCAGACACAGTCCTGATCTCATCTAATTCTGGACAAGAAAGTAGTGGGGAAAATATTAGCTCTCCCCGTTAAAAGTTTTGTTGTGATGCTTGACAGACATTCAGCAACCGGGACATATGTTTTTAAAATCCATGATTTTCAAACTCGCCATATGTGGAGCTGCCACCCATCTCATATACCTTATGTCATGTGGGAACAGATGTGACACAGAATACTGTATGTTGATACCTAGTTGAGATTGTTAAAAAAAAACAAAAAAAACACTGTGTTACTCACATATGTCAAGATGTCTAGCTGAGGCCGTAAGCCACTCAGACCCTGACACATCAAATATGATCAATAGATGTTGGCAAAACAAAACTGAAGCCACCTTCATTAAATATGTCTCACATGCTGTGTGAGATTATGGCTCTATTCTTCTCTCCTTGAAGTTTGCAGTTTTATTTTTTAAAAAAAGTGTTTGAATTTTTTCTTCTTTGATTTAGGCGAGGTGGCCCGCCTTTGCTATAAAACACTGTAGGAAACTTCATTAATATTCACAGGGGTTACGGGGTTTGAACACAATGTACCACTCTGAGCTAAAGCAATTATGTTTTTAACGGATGTCGGAAGAATCTCACAGGATTTTAGGGAGTCAAAGTCGAAGAATGTGCCTACTTAGTCCTTTGGGTGTTGAGGCTGTGCAGCTAAATGAGAAATCACATTTAATATATCTGAAAATACACACAGACACTTCAGGGGAAGTTGTGTGTTTCACTCGGTTGTTTTGTATTTACGGTTTCTTTGACACTTGAATGAAAAATATTCCAAATGTTCACATGACATTTGAATCTGAAGTGAAATTGCATCATAGGTCTACTGAGACATGTTTTCCTCGAATACTGTTGTTGTGTAACGTTGCAAAGTCATGATGCATCATTTGATGATGCAGCTCTGTTGAGATGGACCCTGATGCACCTCGGGCCGGCTCATCATTCATTCCACACAACTACAGTTGTGATATGAATGGCTGGTGGAGAACAGAGAGGTTTTAAGTTTCAAACAGGAACCTCAGGGGTAGAAGTTCAGAGGGCAATCATTTGTAGTTGCATAACATTTTTCACTGACTGTTACTGGCTGTTGTTTTGTCGCTCCCCCTTTTTCCCTTTGCCCCTTTTTTCTTGTGCTCACAGATAATCCTTGAGTCATACAACCATAGTTTACATCAGCCTGTCTGTCTATGATTGAAAGCACAGAGAGTATTGACCGAAGAATCTGAAACAAGTCAAATGCCAGGCACTGATGCTTCACTTTAGAGTGGTCTACTGTTGCATAACAGCCTGCTCTCAGTGTGTCAGTGTGCTGTTTATGTAACCAAGACTTAAGTGCAAGTATGGGAGGGAGACAGCGTTTCCAAAGAAAGAGCAGAGTCGCGTGTTCATCTCGTGTGTTTCCTTTATTGTCAGTCTTCTTCTTTTAAACTGCAGCTCCTTTCGTTTTTGAGATTATAAATAGATTCATGACGTGGCCTGCAGCGATTTGGACTCTGGGTTTTACCAACTTGTCTTAGCCAAGGTCCTCCATGTCTGTTCCATTCTTGGACACTTGACTCTGATTCAGCAGAAATAGTGGACTCATCCACTCGTACACTGGCCCATCTGTAGAGCCGGTCTTGGCCCGGGCTCAGGCCAGCAGCTGCTGCCTGTGGACAGGGTTCACTGTGCCCCAGAGGCTGCACTGTGACAGTGGAGGAACTGTGTTTCTGGTAGAGGAGAGATAAGAGCCACTGGACCTCTGGAGTATCTCTTCAGCGGCCCAGATAACTACTCCAGAGATCAGCGGTCATGCTGTATCAGGCCTGATGGAAAAGAAGTCACACTCATGTGGACAGCGTAGATGTAATTTTATATTGTATGCAAGCATGAACAGACAACAGAGACTTGCGCACTCCCTATTTTAATGATTAACCAGTCGTTACACTTCCTGCTATCATGCTTATTAATCTGATCTTGTGTGTTCGCAGGAACAGATGTGACACAGAATACTGTATATTGATACGTAGTTGAGATTGTTTAAAAAAAACATGTGTTTAGATGTCTAGGTTTAGATGTCTAGCTGAGGCCATAAGCCACACAGACCCTGACACATCTTATATGATCAGTAGATGTTGGCAAAACAAAACTGAAGCCACCTTGTTAAAAATATCTCATATCCTGTGTGAGATTACGGCTCTATTCTTTTTTTCCTTGATGTGAGTTGATCTATGTGTATGAATTTTTTTTTGGTGTTTGCAGAGGTTTTGTTTGTTTTAGGCTCGGTGGATCGCCTTTGTCATAAAACACTGCACGGAAACTCTGCTAATGTTCATGACCGTGCTACAGGGTTTGAAAACAGTTTACCATTCAAAACTAAATCATTTATATTTTTAACAGACGTCAGAGGAATCTCACAGGATTTTACAGAATCAAAGTCAAAGAATGTGTCTACTTAGTCTTTTGGGTGTTGAGGCTGTGCAGCTAAATGAGATCACATTTACTATATCTGAAAATACACACAGACACTTCAGTGGAATTTTCTTTGACAGCTGAATGACAAGTATTCAAAATGTTCACATGACATTTGAATCTGAATTGAAATTGCATCATAGCTCTACTGAGACACGCTTCCCTAGAATACTGTTGTTGTGTAACGCTGCAAAGTCATGACATCCTGACAAAACTAACCCCACGTTTGTTTTTGTCGAGATGGACCTTGACCCTCAGACACTTGACTTTGATTCAGCAGAAATAGTGAACTCATCCACTCGTACACTGGCCCATCTGTAGAGCCGGTCTTGGCCCGGGCTCAGGCCAGCAGCTGCTGCCTGTGGACAGGGTTCACTGTGCCCCAGAGGCTGCACTGTGACAGTGGAGGAACTGTGTTTCTGGTAGAGGAGAGATAAGAGCCACTGGACCTCTGGAGTATCTCTTCAGCGGCCCAGATAACTACTCCAGAGATCAGCGGTTATGCTGTATCAGGCCTGATTAAAAGAGAAGTCACACTCATGTGGACACGGGACAACCTAGATTTTTATTTTATACTGTATACAAGAATGAACAGACACGTAAGCAAGACAGCAGTGACGTATGCACTCCGTTACCCATTTGTTACACTTCCTTACACTTCCTGTAAACTCCTGTTAGCCTCATGTTTATTAATCTGATCTTGTGCGTTTGTGTCCATCCTCAGGTTGGTGTCGACTGTGCACGCTCTGATTGTGGGTTTGTTCTGTCTGTACATCCTGTGGTTCGATGACGCGGTCAACGCCAACCCCGTCTGGTAAGAGGAACAGAAACAAAATTCATCAGCAAAATATCCAACAACTTTGTAATATAATGAAACAAGAGAATCTGTGACATGCAAATGAAATAAATACCACCCCATAAACCCTCGTAAACAAATAAGAAATGATGCTGTTTACTCGATGGAAAAGGCAAAAACTCTGACACGCAGAGCCTCGTCATTCTGCCGGGCTAAGAAAAAAGAAGAAGCGTGAATGCTTTAGGTGCTTTTAGGAGAAACCTGCCTTCTCACAGCTGCCTTTTCAGACAACTAGCTCACAAGGGAGAGAGGAAACAGATGAAGGGATGAAGATGGAAGGAGAGGAGCAGTGAAGGATCATCAGGGATGGCAGTTAATACCTTTTGGAGAGATGACGATGGCGTTCTGTTCATCAGAATGAAAAGAGGGAAGGAGAGAGAGTGGATCTAACTTGTCAGTGGAGTCTCCAGAGAGCTGTAGATTCAGTGGATTTAGCCTTTGATTATTGTCTTTTCTGTCTCCTCTCTGTCTCTGTGTTTCACCTGCTCTGCTTCTGCTGACTCTGTTATTCGCATCAATGAATCCTAAAAGAGAGAAATGGTAATTTCTCTTCCCAATTTCTTTCTCCTTTCCAATGTTTTAATCTGCCCTTTTTTTTTTTTAAAACGTATCTCTCCAGCTCTCTGTCTTTCTCTCCTGTCTCACTAATCTTTCATCACTCCTTACTCTTCCTCTTTTTCTTCTATCTCTCTTTTCCCGTTTCCTCTGTTTCGCTTCCTCTCTGGCTCTCTAGCAGACGGACTAGAATCCAGCCAACAAGGCTCCTTTTCATAGCAAACAACAGCAGCCTAGTCTTCTGCCCCCTCCTTCTGCCTCTCTCTTCATGAGGACCCCCCACCCCCCCCACCCTCCCTCACCACCAATACCACCAATAGCCCTCCATGAGCCTCCTCCAGCCTCTAGCTCTCCATTGTAGCAGCACCGCACATCTTGGGCTGTCGAATCAATGCAGCACACCTCCCTCGCTCTTATTGTCTCTGTGTCGGCCCCGGCCTGCATCGCTGATGGGGCGAAAAGGGGGAGAAAAAAAGGGGGGGGGGGGTTCAAGAGGGGCTCCCTCCCTCCTCTTGCTACCAATCTTCATCTGCTGAGTGTTCAGGTGCTTAGTGTCTGTAGTCTTTGTCTTTATGCACTTTTTTTTTTTTTTTTGGACAGAATTTAATAGGAAAAGCTGATTAGCGGTTATCTCTCTCTCTCTCTCTCTCTCTCTCTGTGGTAATGTTTCGACTTTAACTTTATTTCTTCACTTCTCTTGTTAAATTTCTCACTTTACCCAGCAGCACCTAGCTGATCCCCAGCAGTCTCCTAATGCCTTAAAGCTCATCTCGTTGCAACACCAGAGTGGCGCAAGCATTAATTCTCCAGTCAATCTGATTGTATTACAGCATCACTAAGACCTGTCACACAGCGGCATTGTTCTCCCCGCTGCTCTCAATATGGCTGGAGTGGCCAGAGCCAGACTGTTAGAAACCTGCATTGTGTTGGGCCGCTGCTCAGGCTCTTTCAGTGTGCCGCTCTGGCTGGCAGAGCCGCCTCGGCCGTTATCATAATCTATTCAGTTAACAAGCAGCGTGTCTGACCGCCGTGCCCCTGCCGCATTTCTTGATTGGCTTATCTAGACTTGAACTTAACATGTGCAGGGTCGTGGGAGGTGAATGGGGGACCACGTTTCAGGGTGGTGTTGAGTTGAGGTCAACCTGGTGGAAATGTTTTATTTAACACATAAGGTGACATTTTGCCGGAGGCTCTTTGGTCTTCAAAGCTCCGGATCAGCTGTCGACGGCGGCGTCTCACCGCCCCCGAAGACTTTATCACATCTCTGTCATGACCGTTAACTTTCGTCTCACAGCCGGAAATCGCACAGTATGAAGGAACCTTAAAGCAAAGCAGTCCATGACTGAGACAAATACATTATTACAAGTGATGTTACACTTTCATGTGCAACATAAGGACGTTCCACTTGCATAAAGACTAAGATAAAGATGTTGGAATATGACAATACTGAAAGTTGTCGTGTCAAATTAAATAGAAAAACAAAAGTGTTGTCCCTCTCAGTAAAGTGGGAAGTCGTGATGCTCATGAAACTGATTCAATTAACTGAATATTAACTTTATGTAACATTTTTACTTTTATATTTTTATCATAGTAAATTTTGGCAGTTTATTTAAACTCTTTCATTCAGATTAAGACATTTTAATCCTGTGTTTTTCCTGCTGTGACGAAAAGCAGACTTGTATGAAGACAAACAGGTGTGGACCACACAAGACTTGTGTTTGCACCTGAAAGGAAAGTATTTAATGTTCCTACAAGTGCTTCTCGACTGACATGACTCCAGCACAATTAGAAAAGTTTACTGTGGAGAAAGCTGCAGGTAATTTTCTCGGCCAAAAATACCAGTCCGTTAACTGCACATGCAGAGAGGAGTTTGGGTTTGCTTTACATTTAATTAACTGAAGCTGGATCACACTGATGTGATTATCCAAGAAGATTTTGGACTCTGCGACTCTGCGACTCTCTGACTATCACACTGTCACTTAGGTTGGGTCTGATCCAAGGCTCCACGTGCCGCTCGCTGCATTTCTGTCTTAAGTGCAGTGGTAAAGTGATACGACTGATCAGTTAACAGGGGGAGCAGACATTAGATTAGATAAATAATCAGAGAGAGAAACACAATGCTTCATTAACAGTGTTCCTGATTGTTGTGTCTGAGGAAAGTTGCAAGTTTTTTATTTTATTTTTAAGTGACATAAACAAATTTGTGCCACATATGCACAAAAATACAATAAGCATATGATTCATATTCCTCATGTATTCAGTCAAAGTGCTTTTTGCTTAATGCAGATAATGTGATAATGAACAATCTCAGGTGAAATTTGCAGGATAAATTTTGACAGTGGTGAACTGGGGGGGAGGGGGGGGTCATCTAGTGCATAAGGTGAACCATTGTACAGTAGCTGTGTGTGTGTGTGTGTGTGTGTGTGTCTGTCTGTTTGTACTGTATGTGTGTTGTGGGGTTCTGTTACAGACGCGGTCAGCCAGTCATTTGCTATATGATACTCGTGACTGATACCAGGATCAGGTGTCTATTGAAGCAGAGACGTCTTCATTGTTATTTTGAACAGATGTTATTTGCAAAGACACCAGACGGTCACCAGAACAGGTCATTGGTCTGTGGGCTGCAGCCAGCTACTGTTTATTCAGACGATTTGTCGAAGGAGGGAAACAAAGAGTCGATGACGTCAGTATTCGCTGCCGTTTGTCATGTTACAGATTCACAACTCGACTGACTCCAGCCTCGTCAGCACGCCATTCTTTTTAATCAACACCTAACCATGTACAAGGGTATCACAGCAAGCTCATCAGTGTTAGCCAATCAACCTTGAGTGACCTTTTTACGCAATTCATGATGAGTGTGTTAACGTCGTTACGCTAATTAGTTTTGCATCATTGCAGAAGTAGATTATTGATCAGAAGAGCACATAGTTTGAGTTTTCCCACAATATTTAGCAGCTTCCCCTTCCTGGCTTGTTTACCTTCAGGGTGGTAGAGTTACAGCCGTGTGGAAACTACCTTTACACTCTGTTCTTTGTTCCACAGGGGTGACCCAAGTCTTGTCAAACTCAATGTAGCCATAACCTGTGGTTACCTTCTTTACGGTGAGCTGCTTTTGTTTTTGCTTCCGTCAGTCTTTGTCTTTTTTTTAATATGTTTTAAACACACAAAGGAAAATGACTTTGATTCTGAAGTAATTTGATTATAGTTACAAACACAAAGGCAAAGCTGCTCATTTTAGATTAAATCAGTAACCAGTTTACAGGTGCATTAATAAAAAACTGTATTCACTCCCTCAAATGAAACTGTAGGAGAAAGTGTTTTTCATCCAGGGTCTATTGGCAGTTTTATGATATTTTTTATCCATAAATATCTTTAGTCTTCTACAAATGTTCTGCTTCTGGTGCATTTGCTGCTGCATGAAGTAACGTGATTATTACCACCAATGCAGTGCTTGTCATTTTGGATTTAATCCGTTGTCGTGGATAACAGAGGTTGAGCAATCTAAGATAGGTGAATTAGCAGATGCACTGATCAAAGAAAAGACATTGTTTAATATGTCAAAGGAAACAATATGAGTCAGAAAGTCCTTTTCATTATCTACCCCTCTACACTTAACTCAGACGGTTTTAGAAACTCAGGGTTATGACCACAATTTAGATTTAATTTGACATTCTTCAGCTTTAAATGTCTTTTTACATTGTCTCAAATAAAACAACACAATTATAAAAAATTTAACCCGTCTTGTTCTGGGAGTCGGCACCGGTGCAGTTGTTGGTCTTTGCCTTTAAAAGGCAGTTATGTACATGATACTCCACCTAGTCAAACAGACATTTCTCTTTGCCAGCTGTGTGATAAACCTCTCCTCTCTGCTCTCCAGACCTCGTGCTGCTAGCTTGTAACTGGAGCACAATGGGGGACAGCTTTTTTGTCTGTCACCACTTGGCGGCGCTCTATGCATATGGATACGTGCTGGTGAGTCACTCCTCTAGACCCAGAGTGTAGGAACTGAAATGGTAATCTAACCGTGAGTTGTTCATGTGTTGTGCTTTGTTTGTGTGTGTTTGGTCACTGCAGACTCGTGGTGTGCTTCCCTACTTTGCCAACTTTCGTCTCATTTCAGAGTTATCCACGCCGTTTGTGAACCAAAGGTGAGTCAGCCCTGCTCGTGAATAATCCACTATTTGTCAACACGTCCCGGGATTCATTTCCTTTATTTAACATTGGGCTGACGTGTTTCACCCTGACATTTTTCTCAATCATCTTTTCCCTCCAGGTGGTTCTTTGAGGTATTGAAATACCCCCGCTCACACCGGATGGTGGTGTCAAACGGTGTTGCCATGGCGGTGGTGTTCTTCCTTGTGCGAATTGCCGTCATGCCATCTTACTGGGCCAGTGTATTCGCCACCTTCGGCACCCCAGACTTTGAGCGGCTGGGTTTGGGCGCCCAGGTGGCCTGGATCACCTCCTGCATCGCCCTGGATATCTTGAACACTGTCTGGATGTACAAGATCGCCCGTGGCTGCTACAAAGTCCTGACAGGGAGAGGAGGAAGGAAAGTTAAGGAAGGAGCAGAGGCATCGTCTTCCTCAGACAGGAAGTATGTCAACAACCACACAGACTAAAGAGATGTAGAGTCAAGGATGTGTAGACACAGACATAAGCAGGGAGAGAGGCTGGACACCCAGGAACCTCACAGCCTCTCCCTTTGGCTATAGCCTCAGCGTCCTTCCCACCCCCGCCCTTGAATCCCCAGAGTTAGCCCTTTATCTCATTGTAGTCGGCTAGTGGACCGGGCTAAGAGTCCTCAGGTGACCCCGACACAGGACGAGGAGACTTGTCTCACTCAAGCACCAGCCTTTGCAGCCTCAGTGTTTTCGCTGACAGATTAGTATCCTGCTGGGTGACAGCTTTTGGTCGCAGACGACAAGATAGAGCTCACAAGCACACTTTTAACTCCGTCTGTCACTCGCCTCTTTCATCACTACCATCATCCCTCTCATCTCCCCTCACGCTCAACTTCAGCCAAAGCCCAATCCTCTGAAGTGCCTGTGAAAGACAGGAAAGCAATAATATTGGAGGAATAAGATCACAAAGTTTAACAAAGCTTCGCCCCTTCACACGACAACCATCTCAACGACTGGAGGCCTCTTCTGTTGTTCATACTCCGTCCATACTCGAAGAGACGAGGCCTGCAGAGTGAAGAGCTCTCCCATCAGACCCATACAGTGATTGTGAATCTATAGGGCTCTTGTCTTACTACTCATCAGACCTCTCAAAAAGAGACAGAAAAACACCATAATGCCTCTTCTACAGTATCACCTGCTGTGGCCTCCTTATAACAAGTGGCGCCTGCCTATATCACCAGCCATGCCCCTCCAACCTCCTTATAATTTGGATTATATTTAAAAAAAAAAAAAAAAAACCCTGAGAATATGCATGCAGGAGAGAGAAAGACAAACTCTCTAACACCCTTAGCTTTTCACAGGAGGATTTTTGCCTTTTCAGTATTCATCGTGTTGGCATCACTGTGCTGTGTTCCCTTTTATTATTTTACACAGCCTCAAGTCCCTAGCAGTCACAGTAACATGTCTAACTCACATTACATCTGTTGCAACCCTCTGCCTCACTGGATAGAGCTCCTCTATCCAGCTCGAACATTTGATTTGGTTCTACCTCTCCCCCTGCCTTACAGAGACTTCGTCAGTCCCTTCCTCATGAGTTAATCAACATTTTTGTTTTTCTTTGTACTGTACTGTACGTAGCCTTTTTTTTTTTTTTTTTTTTTTTTTTTTTTAAATGTTACCTTTTGTGATATCACTGGTTCAGAGGGGCTTCTCCCTCTCTGCTAACTGTCTTCAGAGCTTATCCCAGGAAACGCCGCGGCATCACCTTTCCCTCTCGACTGTCCAGTCGGTGAACCTTTTTGTTAGAGAAACAACCCCCGGGAGGCTTGGATAGGCCAACTTCCACTTATCTCCTCTGTTCTCAGTGACTTGAGAACCTAATGGAGGAGGGGTTCATACACGAGTTTGCACATGCATAGTAAAGCATAGCATTGCAAACCGTACACTGTATCTGGTGTCCCTCTAAAACACCGACATGGTGCTCTTCCTTCTGCTGAATGTTAGCAACATAACATTTTTCAAAATTCTCTCTATTAATGATCAAACTTATTTGGCTGTACTAATCTGTGACAACAATATGCTGTTGGACGCAGTGTGGCAATCTGCATGTTTGTTTGTTTGGGTTTTTTTTTTTTTTTTTTTTTTTGCGTAAACTATAGATCCTCACTATAAAGCATGGTAAGATTGACATATTTCTGTGATGCCTTAGTGAATAGTTAAGATAGATGAATAACATCTAAATATTAATTGCATTAATCTAATGCTGAAAAGGGTTTGTCTTCCAAAACAGTTAATGTTTCCTCCTCTCGGAGCATACTGAACTGAATGCATGTGTTTTTGATTCCTTTCTCCTCTCCCTGCATGTCTCAACAGTATAGACACATACAGTAAGTGTGCAGGTACCTTTTTGCATACTGTCCATCTAATTCACTAATCCTTACCACATTCTGTGTGTAACAGGCGGCATTACTTGATTTTTTTTTTTTTTTTTTTTTTTTTTACAAATTCATTTATTCTTCTCGTTGTACAGTCCTCTGTTAGCAGACGCTAATAACTACACAGCTGATATCACGACAGACAGAAACACAAGAGGATGTTTCAGATTTGACTTTAGCCACACAAACACACTAGAAGTGGATCATTGGAAATTCAATCTACAAATTGTAAGTTTGTACTCCACTTACATTTTCATTTGTTTCCTCTTTGCTTAAAAACCACCGATTTAGCATTGCACTCCTATGATATCGCATGTCGATGTCAACAACAGTTGTTGTTGGGTTTTTTTTGTTTGTTTCAAGGATAAAAATCGATGCAGTAGAACAAGAGATCATAGCCAGGACTCCATCCATATGTAGAGCAAATTTCAACCAAATTTAAAAAAAAAAAAAAATCTAATTCTACAGTCAGGCCATTAAATCACTGCAGAAGAAGAGGACGCAACAAGATGACATGATTTAAAAACGTCAAACAACAGGAAAACAATTCAGAAAACGTGATGGAAATGTGGCATTTTCTGTTTGTTTCTTTTTCACATGTACTAATTTGACGAAGGTCACAGTCTCCTCTCCTCTGCTTCACGCACGTCTGACCGTTTCATGTGACACGATATTTAGTCTCAATGAAGCAGAAGCTCGAGTGATGTTGCAGTCACACGCTTCATGTAAGTCATGGCACTCTGTAGCATTTTTATATTATCAATGCACCAACTTTTCCACCTCAGCTAAGCATAATAGCGACTGATAGTTGTCACCCTCTGGCACAAATTGAAACCTATGGTCTTTTTTTTTGTTTTTATTCCACACATTTATCTTCCTTTTCAAAACCCAGTGCCTACATTTTCCAGAGTGCAACGCAGCCACCAACAATGCAACACGTCCACCACTGTTGCAGATTTGGGTGTGTTATGCTAGCAGCGGCTAACGTAGTCGCAAGCCTTTAGCCTCAAGCAGAGAGGAGGAGCGGAACTCATTTCTTTCCAACTCAACCACCCCCAGATGTTTTTCCATTTTCAAACTTCCAGTTTTTCAGCCACAACTGACGCCGACTCAAGTGACATCACTTGAGGCAATTTATCAAACTTTGCACAGCTCCTTTTTGGAGCCACAAAAGGCTTTACAATATATATACATATATATATATAGTGCACCTATAGTCCACCCCAACACCTGTGAACAAACTTTGATGTGTAAAATCGGTGGAGTTCCCCTTTAAGTCCTGGTATCTGTAGTTACATCGATAGTTATAATAGTCTGAGAATGTCTGGTGGTGTTTTCACTGTTGTCACTGTGGAACTATAAAGCACACTCCCTGTGGAGCAATAACTCAGTGATCTCCTGTATTTCTGTCTGTCACCACAGAGGAGGGGCTGCAGTAACTCGTGCCTTTACACAAACGGTGGATGTGATGCAGTCAGATTTGGATTAGCATGATCTTTCTAATGTAATATCCAGCGATTATCTCCCCTCTGTCCCATACGTATACTCTATGTATATATTTTTATAATCTGCCTGCACAACGATTAATCCGGCCAAGTATTATAATCCAAAGCTGATCCCTCTCGGGGAGCGTGTTTTGTGTTGATTATTTTGTGCTCCCCTGAACACAGGGCTAAGTCTCGGTGAATGTTGTGATGGGTCATTTAGCGGCATTAAGACGAGCTCGCAGTGGAAATCGAACTATATTTTTGTCATAAGCTCTTTAAGATATACAGGTAGGTGATGGGAAGGCTAACATCTCATTTCTCCGGCCTTCAAAACTGTGAATAGCTGTAGAGTTAAAACTGTAATATTGTTCAGTCAAGAAACTAAAAAAAAGAATATGACTACAGTCGGAGGAGATTTTACTGGGACTGGCTGAGCAGTGATGCTGACACACTTCTTGTAGCGGCGTCGTGTGCTTCTTCTTGGATGTCTTTGAGTTTAGACTTATAGTTTAGACAAACTGTTGAACTGAGTTTTTGTACTTTCAGGATTTTCTACAGAATATATTTCAAGACCCGATATTTGTGCTGTATCTCAACACCCTGGGGCTGTTTGGAAAATCAACAGAATGAATTAATGGTTGATGAATTTGATAAAGCTGCTATTGTAAGGCCATGATCTGTATTCTGTACTGAGTAATGTATCGGGTGAGAACAACCCAATTGCCTTTGTTTCTTTGGGGAGGCCAACATTCATTATATTATATAATAAATATATATATATCAGAAAGGTACATACGAATCATCTCAATGTGCTGATCCCAGATCGAGTTGATCTTTTGGGAACATTAGGAGCAAAGCTGCATTAAAATTGGTACATAAACAGTATATTGTGCTGGTCTTCTCAAGGTTACACATGGTACTTCCACAACTATTTGTCCCATTTTTGTTCCTCTTAAATCTTTATTTTCAAGTTCGATCGTAGGTGTACAATGATAGAGAATTGGTTGAATCTCAGTATTACAAAGATGACAGAATTTGTGTAATTGTTAAAAATGACTGGAAACCTTTTCAATCAAATGACTTGCCAGTTTTGTTTTGTTTTTTTTTCCCTTTGAATGACTTGCCAGTGTGGCTTTATGTTCCTTCCCCTTTCCGTCTCCTTTTGTTTTGTCTCTTAATGCAATGCAATTTGTTGTTATGATCTGTTTTGTTTTTCTCTGGAGATTTTAATGTGAAGCAGCCTACACTACACACTGGCCTTAGGGGTCCTCGTCTGAGCATTACCTTGTGACTCGGATTGTTGTCGTCTACAATGACCACTACTAATGATCATGTAATTGTAGAGCTGAAAGCTGAGACTTACTTGAAAGTGTTGTTCTTCAATAAAGCTGAAGACGAGAAAATGTTTGGTGAAACTTTTTTTCTTCTTAATTAGACCAAACCAAGTTTCCTTTTTAATGTACTAATTCACTGGCTACTGAGCAGTGATGTCAGCATGAGAATGACCTGTTGTGTTCAGTGTAATGCATCCAGACAGCGGCATACTGAACTGGTCCAGTCATCCGCCTGCTGCGTACCCAAGCACAATAAGACCAGCTACTGGTAGTTGGCACCATTACTCTTTTCTTTTTAAATTGTGCGTGTGTGTGTGTGTGTGTGAGAGAGAGAGAGAGAGAGAGAGAGCGAAAGAAAGAAAGAAGGGAAAGTGTTGGAGATATTCAACAAAAAAGGAAGAGTGAAGAACAGACTGAGACATTCAAAATGAGATGAAAAGGTGAAGCCAAGACTTTGGCTGAAATAGGGGATGAAAGGCAGATATGAAGGAGCATGGAAAGTGAAAGATTTGAAGGAGGGGGCGGCGGGGTCTGAGCCACAGTAGGTCTGTGATTGGAACCATCTCCTCTGTGTGTGCGGGGGTGGGTGTGTGTGTGTGTGTGTGTGTGTGTGTGTGTGTGTGTGTGTGTACCAATCGGTCAAGGGGCTTGGTCAGAGACTGCGCTTGAGGAGCTTTACCAAACATGGTCACGTAACAGAGACTCAATGAAAATTTCCTCTTGCTACTACAGCACACACTCACGGCGTGGACTTCACTCACGCACAGGGTGAAAAATCATCACCTGCGCGTCATGTAAACAGAGAAACACACCTGCGTGTTAGGAAAATACACCGTCTGTCATCGCTGGATTCAACACAATTTCTATCACATTACCAGCACAAAGAAGCATGTGCAGTACGCTTCT